TGCATTTATAAGTTAATGTACATATTTTTTATCATATTTCCTTTAAATCTGAAAGATGAACCCTTTATAATAATTAGTACCCAAGGGTTTCAGAGTTTCTACTTTAATAAAAATCATTTTCTTGGCTTTTCTTGATTTTTGACATTAAATGAAAGTAAATGTATGTTGAATAATTTTCAGGAAAATATTTCCATTTTGACAAACACGTATTTTTTACTTAATAAACATTTAGTAACTAATCACAGTAAAATAGCAAAAGAAAGTGAAAAAAATTTCTATATTTTCAAAAATAAATTTTACGCGGATAAAAATTGGTGAAATATACTACTCAATACAAAACGATATCAATAAAAATCTCTAATATCCTAATCTTAAAAATATAAATGAAATAATTCATAGATAGAATCCATCTCATGGCAATGAAAATTCCATTAGTGACAGCAGTACTTTTAGTATTTTTTTTTTTTTTTTTTTTGATAAACTTTTTAATGTACAATGTACGTTCATTTGTTTAAATTAATTTTCTATCTAAGTATTCAATATACTTTCTTTTGAACATTTTAAAGTAACTACATTATCAGGACAATATTTTTAATTACATTTTGTAAGAGAAATAAACTCAAGCTTTCTTATAATAAATGATATGTACTTGTTCATGAGGATATTTCAGAACTTAAGTTCAGAAAAAAATTATATTCTTCATCTAGTTTAAGAATATAACCGAATGGATTTTTTTTTATTAGGAACATATTAAGTCATATATTATTACATGTCCATTTAATTTTTGTGCTCATTACTGAAATGATAGCATTTTTACTTGACAAAATAACTGCACACTATTTGATCTTTTGCACTTTTTAGTACAAAATTATTTAGTTTGAAAATAAAATTATCTGAATTCAAAAATTAATCAATTGGAAATAGTTTAATTTACGTAATGTGTATTTTAAAGTTAATATAACTCATTTGAGACACAAAATTATTTTAGATTTTTTTCTACTAGTAAATTAATTTATTCTGAGAAAATTATCTTAAATATAAAAAAGATTTAGAAAAATGTGTCTCCTGCTGATACTGTACTCTAGTCCGATTTTTTTTAATTATAAAATATTATTATTTAATCTAAAATGAATACTTATTTATTGATTATTCTATTTCTTACTTTTAAACCAAGATTAAATTTTTCGAATTAAATTAACATTATTATTTTTTATTATATATAATAGCTCTTTAAGATTCGTACTTAAATTAATTTTTATGCATGACGCAACTTTTTCCTGATATATTGCTAAACACACAATTATACTAAAAAAAACTTATAAAAGTATTTAAAAATCTAAAGCACATATATATTTTAGTACATTAAATAAAAGTTATATTATGTTGATTTACCTATCTGCAAACTGCCTTCATTAAAAATGCAATGTTATAATGTAGAGATACTGTTTCAGCTATCAAAAATAAAATTTCAATTTCCAATTTAATAGAAAGTTTAAATTTTTTTACATTGGATTCAAAGATAAAATTCATTTATCTTAATTCATTGATCTGTAAATTATTTATTTTTTCATAAAATATTTTGATAATCTATAATAAAATATTTTTAATTAAAAATGATCATTCACATGACAAAATTAAGAAAGGAAAAAAAATGAAGAATTTTTAAATGTTTTTTTCTCCTTTGTCATCTAATTACTCAAAATCTTCTACAAGGAAGACCAGAGATAAATTAAAATTAAACATTTCATTATTGTGATCACAGGAACGTGGAAATTTTAATTATAACACTTTTTCTAATTAATTCGCAGATAAATTATGACAAGGTAAAAAATACCCTCATAGAAATATGTTATTCCCCTTATGAAAATATAGCATGACTATGTGTGATATAAATGTTTAAATAAAGAATATTTCCCATTAAGTATGCATAATAATTATTTTTAGATAGTAGGAAAAACTTAGTGCTGTGAAGTTATGAAGTATAAAATGCAAAAATTTTCTAAATAATTTTGGTGATACTCAAAAACATTCACAAATTCGAATGTAAATATAATTTGGTTAAAAAAGTTAGGTTGATGGTTGGATAATATTATATTCTTAAATTAGAGAAAAAATTTAATTGCGAATTAAGTATTAAGATTAATTATTAAGTAGCATTATTAAGTGATAATATTATTTATTTTTAAGTATCATTAAGTTTTTATTAAATTTAATGTTTCCTTAACATCAACGTTATTAAAACCTATTCATATGGCACTAAGTATTTTGAAAATATAAAAAAGTAAAAATAATATCAATTATATATGAATAAATGCATGTTGTTTTATTCATGAACCAAACATTTTGAGAATTCGAGCTTTTTTCATTCTAAATTAGGGAACTTAACATTAGTTTAATTTAAATTTTGATAGATAGTAAACATAAGACACCAGGAATTTAATTTAATTTACATTTTGTTGGTTTAAATTCTTCATGAATGTGTAAAATTATTAGGTCACTAAAAGATACATTCCTCCAATCTATTTCTGGCGGCAAAAAAATTACATCATAATGAGCAAAGTACTGCATTATATATTATCGATTAATACATTTTTCACAACTCATATAGGTTAATGCCCGCCAAGTTAAAGTGAGGATTAATGAAATGTCGATAATTTACAATTTTAAATTTATTGTTAATAATTTTGAATTTGATCGTTTATAACACTATTCTAAAATTGCGTAAAGAAAGTAGGATAATAAACATAATATGTCTCATCTTAACCGTGAAATATCAAATAATAACATAATATTTATTTAATTAGATTAGAATCCTTTTTATTAAAACGAGAATTAAAATTGAATGTAGGACCACTACACATTTCAACAGCAACACATGATTATGTCTTTAAAATTATTATTTACTGTTTCAAAATCTTTGAAAAATATTTTTTAAGCTAAAACAATAATTCAAATGTTCTAAATAAAATCTGTGTTTGTATTGGTCGTTTTCATGCTGTCCTTCAGAGAATTGTTGTTGTTGTTGTCGTGTCCCTCATGGAGGGAGGGAGGAGGGGTGCAGCTTCTGTACTGATGGAGCCCCCATAGGTAGAAGTATGACTGCTGCTCCGTGACGCTCTTACAGTCATAGATGACTGGGACCTACGGCTTAAAGTGGATTCCGAACCACTACAAACACCATCGGCACCACCGGGACTCGAACCCGAAACTTGTGGCAACGAGCGCCAGAGCGCTAGACACTCGGCCATTAATTTCAAAGAATACCTTTCATGAATTATTCATCAATGTAACATGTCATCAACAAACTGAATATAATTAAGGCTTTGGTGAACGAATAGTGTTGTTCTCTACTACCACAGATTAAAATTTATTATCTAATACCTATTTCCATGAATCCTCTAAATGTATGCGTGGAAAATGAAGTAAATTTAAAGTGATTTCGTTGCATCACACATTCCAAATTACTTGTTCATCGGACTTAGATTAGAGAGCAGGAAATTATTAAGGAATACTTTGCAATGAAAATTGAAAATAAGTTGTCACCCTTTGTCTTGATCCATGAAAAAATTAAAAAGTAATTTTGAAAGTAAAGCACAGATAAATCGGTCTAAATTTATAACAAAAAATATAATTTTGTAAGAAATACTACTTTGCACAGTTAAGGAGAAAATATATATGCATCATTTTTATATGAAACCCATGGATCTTATAGCAAATTTTATAAATGAACTGCTGCGGATTAAAATTTCTTTTACTAATTTTTGATTTTTAATGTTGGTTTCATTGTTGTTTTATCTCTGAAAATACAAATGAATTCCATGCCTAATGTTCAGAACATTATAATGAATCTCTAATAGTACTTAATACCGTTTTATATATGATTTTATGAAACAATTCTTTTTTCTGAAAAAGAATAACGGAATATTTTTTTAAAAATTTTCAATCCAACTTTAAAGATTTAAATGTTATTAAATTGTTGATTGTTAAAATTTTGTATTTATTCTCTTGGTTTCATCGAAAATTATATATGCATACAAAAATGTCTTCCAGTGAAACTATAATATAATATAAAGTAACATATATGTATAATATTATCACAGATAGTAGTGATTTTAATTTTTATTATTTAAATGCTTACCTTTGCTCAACAGCTTCATGTAGAATTGTTTTATACTAACGAACACAAAGCATATCATGAAATTTCTCAAATGTCGCCATAAATCATTTTAAATGATGGTAAGAATGATTATATTTTATTTTACTACCCCAATTTTATTATAAATCATCCGTGAGAAACTTTTACTTTAAATATAACACAAATGAGGTGAGTCATTTTAAATGAATTTTTGTTATCATTAAAGAACATTGCTGTTGTTATAAATTGGATGTATACAACATATTATAAATCAAAGGGACTATGTAATTTTCTATTTCTATTATTAAATTTTGCATTATTGTTTAGTATTACGTACTAATTTATATCTGATCATGATGATGAATTGTTTCCCATTGATGACGCAGTTTGCGGAATAATAAAATAAGTTCTAAATAATCATCATTAAAATGTGTACCGCAATTTTTAAAATATACATTTATAATGTTTAATGAATTTTATGTTATTATATTCATACTAGATTAATCACACTAAAACAAATTCCAAAGTTTGTTTTCCAAAAATAGCTATGTAAATTTTGAATAATCATGCATTCATATACTTGAAATTTCAGATCATACTGAAAAAATGCTTGAAAATTTTGCGAAGCTGAATTTATTTATTATTTTAATATAATAAATACACATATTTAATTTATATAAATCAACAATAAATGTTATCAATTAAATAATGATAAATATCAAAATAATTCATAAAATAAACCAAATTTAGTTATTCCTCATTTTTATTTTCAATGATTTCAATTTTTTAATTTTTATTCTAATTACCTATATCTTCACACTTTTAAACATTAATTAATAATATAACATTTAAAATATTCTTAGCCAACGGCCGTACCATGCTGAATATACCGGTTCTCGTTAGATCACCGAAGTCAAGCATCATTGGGCGCGGTCAGTACTTGGGAGGGTGACCACCTGGGAACAAATTTGGGACCGTTGGCAAATTTGGGACCTGAATGGCCAAGTGTCTAGCGCTCTGGCGCTCGGTGCCACAGGTTTCGGGTTCGAATCCCGGCGGTGCCATGGATGTTTGTAGTGGTTCGGAATCCACTTTAAGCCGTAGGTCCCGGTCTCCCTATGACTGTAAGAGCGTCACGGAGCAAAAGTCAGGCTTCTACCTACGGGTGCTCCATCACAACAGAAGCTGCTTCCTTCCTCTTCAATCATGAGTCCATATGGGCTCGTGGGCTTGGCCAGCCAAGTGGGATAAGAAACAACAACAACAACAAAATATTCTTTTTTAAACTTAAATACTTTAATTCAAAAATTTTAAACATAAAAAATCTATATGAAATTCCCCAATTACGATTTTTTCTGTGCTAAATTTTGGATTAATTTTATATTTTTTTTTAAATGAAATATTTTTATGTCATTAAAAATATATTTACTTTGGATTTCTTGAAGCAGCATCGATCAATTTCTTTATGATTTTATTCGAAATATTACGAAATTCAAAACAAATTTCACACTTTAATATAAAAAGATGCATTAGTATTATTCCCTCTCTTTAGAAATAAATAAAAATAAACTCTCCTTTAAGGCAAATTTATTCTGATGGGTTCTTCTATTCTTTAAGTTCTTATCTCTGAAGGCAATTAACCTTCCTTGTATATCAGTCCAGAAAGAAAGAAAAATAACGAAAAGAATGTTCAGAGACTTATTTATGATAAACCATTTATACTGCTAAGCATTTCGTGGACCTATGAATAGATAAGCCTACGTTGATAGTTAAATTTCCCTTGGCACGTATTTGTAATACTGAAATTTTTTTCAACGTCGACATTATTGTTATTTTCTTATGAATTTTCTTAAGAGCTTCTTTCAGTGTGCTACAATAGGAATCTACTTGGGGCAAAAGCCACATAGCTTGTATTTATTTACTGATATTACGCCTGGCACTAATTCATTCCAACTTGCTTTATTATGGTGAAAGGAATAAATTTTGTGTACTTTTCTCAATAAAATAGTAAACAATTTCTAACAAATGCAGGAAGAATAAAATTTATATTATATAGAAAAACTTTGTAAGATGAAAATTAGAAATGGTTAGAAAAATAATGTCATATATTTGCCCGAAGTATATATTTTTATTTTTTGCACAAATCAAATTAAGTCTCTAAACAATATACCTGTAGTTAGGCGCACAAGTAGTAGTCTGTAAGATCCAAATTGTAATAAACTAAAAATTACTGTCATATTTTTCTGAATTTATAAGGCTTGATGACGATGTGAAAACTTGTATAATATATATATCATTGATATTCAAGTTGCCTGATGAGAATAGTTTGGTTTTCTCCCTTACAATATGCAAATGGTGTTCAGTTGCTCATAAAAATTCACTCGTAATGGAATTTCCCTTCCTGCCCTCCTCTTTCAAGTACCTCGTAGTGGCGCACCTTTGGCAATGTTGTATATGGCTAAGTGTTCTACAGTTTTCGGTATGATTGTTTGATAGTTTCCTGTAGGCCTGCGCTTATTGCAATGGAATGCTGGTGATTCTTCTCAATCAAAAAGAACTGATCTAATGAACATCTACAACGCAATGGAAGTTTCGACCAACCAAACTGCTATCTTTTAATTTGGCAAAACTAATGAACCCAGTTCGATCTCCATCGTTGCTTGACACTTTATGGTGAATTCGAGGCCAAGAATTCCTACAAGCCTGAGACCTCTTAAGGCAATGACTTCGGCAAATTTTGTTGAACTCTTTTGTGTACATTTTCGTTTTTATTTATTTTCCCTCTTTTTGTATTATCTTGTATTGGAAATATAAAAAAAACCTTTCAAAGTGATTGCAAGATGCAATGGTCTTCCCATCATCGTTTTTTGGTGGGATTGTTCCATAGCACATAGGGATAGAAAAAATACACTGCCAATCACATGATAATGTTTCGGCTGATTGCACTTATCAAGTACCAAAAGATTAGATTCAATGTCCATTCCAGCATCGCCTTTAGTGGGGTTTTCATTCACACATTTGTGGAATACAAGATACAACATATTTTCCATCATCGCGTTTCAGTAGAATGTTCGTGGAATACAATAGTTACAACAATGCAATTTTCTTCCTATCAATTTTTCTGCAATTTTCTTTCTTACTATGTACCTTGAAGAATACCCTTTCGGTGAATTTTTCAAGGTACATAGTAAGTACATATTTTGCAGCGTTCCACATAGTACTCAGGGGAATACTACAAAATGTTCCACATACATATATTTCAGAGAAGCGCTTGTATATCATATTAGTGGAACAAAAGATGCATTGTCCCGTTTAATATCAGAAAATATTATACATATTAGGTGTACTGTTGTGTGACACAGTAGAACTCAATATACAATGTTCTAACATAATCGCTTTTTGGTGGATAGTTGATGGTACACAGAACAAAAAGACTCATACTCTTCTCATCAACGCTTTTCGGGAAACTTTTGTGGCATAAATTAACGGAATTCAAGATGCCAAGTTTTTTCCATCAAAACCATTTATTAGATTATTCATAACACGTAGTAAAATACAAATGCTCTGTCCTTATCAACCCTATTTAGTGGAATGTTCAGGGTACACATTGAAAAACAAAATTCAGTGTTCTTCCTACTGTGTTTCATCGAACTGTTCTTGACATAGATTACTGGAGAAAAAGATGCAATGCTTTTCGGATAATTCATCATAGCACATAATGAAACACAAAATGTATTGTCATACCTTTTCCCACCGTTAGGTGAATTGCTCATACGAAACTTGAGTGAAACGAAAAGAAGAAACATTAAAAAATGCCATGGGCCCAATTGAAATTCCTTTTAGCAATGTCAATGAGCATTGTTGTTACTGAATTTAGCTTAGGAGATTTTATTGTGATATTTTTGTTAACGTTTTACACAAATAAACACGATTATCATTATAGTCGCACATATTATTTTAGTTACTAGGAAATTGATACGGAAAACGGTATTCGTCAAGCGTTATTGTATACTAATTGAAGAAACGATGTTCTTTTATCACAATATATATATATCCAAAATTTATAGAAGAACTAATAAGAGTACTTGAGAAAAAAAGCATTTTTTTTTTCGATCTTTGAAGAAAAAAAAAATAGTATTTTATTCACAAACACAAATTTATAAAGGGACCACCAAAGATGACAAAGCATTCCTATTACGAATTTTAGAAAATTAATCACACTGGAATTGCAAAGTAAATGTGTAAAAGTGTATCATCTATATTTTAAGAATTAATTGTGTGTCAGAATAATATTGCAATAAGGTCGAATTCTTCAAATTCTGAAGAGTTTTATGAAACTCTCACTTTTTCTTTTAATTCCTTCAGAAAATGTTTGTTCTTTGTCATCTTGATGGCAAGGCTATTAAGGACGGGTCTCGAGAGATTACGTTACAAGTTGACTTGACAGAAAATGTGTCGAGTTAAATGATGCCGCGGGAAAGATATAGATTTAATAAAAGAAATATTACAAGCAAATGGTAAAGTTAACAGATGAAAATAATCGCAATAACGTAACAAAGATTAAATGTATAATTAAATCACCTTAATTAAAAAAAAATGTTTTATGAAATTTCCAAAAAAAAAAAATATATATATATATATATATGAAAACATTAATTTAATAGTCTGAAAAATTTCCTAATGATTTTAATTAAATTTGGTTTAAAATAAAATTAGCAAACTGAATAATTTTCAAAATTATTATCTTTTCAAATAATTATATTTCTACTTATAAAGGATAAGATTAGTGAAAATATAAGTATTTAATTTTTATAGTTTATCTAATTTTTTTGACTGGATGGTTAGCTGAAAATCACAAAAATTAATTATTAATTATTTTAATTGTATAAAAGTATTTTCTTAATGCTATGTTGTGCTTTGGATATATTGAGCTTGGAAATGGTTTATAAGAGAATTGTGAGTGAGAAAGGACATCTTAAGGAGGAACGTTGATTTCTAATTCATAATTAATGTATATTTTTTAATTGTTACTTTTTCATTATTAAAAAACTGAACGTACAATATTTAAACTTTCTTTAAAAATTTTTCAGGGATTTTTTTTTCATGCATATAAAACTTATTAATTTATAATAAATTATTTCCATTTATAAAAAAAATTTATGCTTTCATAAAATTTTATCTTAGAATGTAACTAAATAATACAATAAATAAATAAATAAATAAATATTTGAAATATACATTTTTTGGGGGAATTTCTACATTCAGTCATCCAATAATATCAAACATATATCATCTAGTACTAAAGCAGTAACAAATAAGAAACTCTAAAAGATTAATCGCAATTTCTATATATTTTTCACACACGTGTCAAATGAATGTAATGAAAAATTAAAAAATGGTTTCGATCTCAAAATTATCAATAACAAAAACTACTTTTCAAAGTAAACGTTTTTCTGCCTTTGACGTCAGTTAATAAAAAATATTGCTTTAAAGAGACGAAAAAGAAAATCTAAACATTTCAAATTTAATTTCATTAAAAAGGCAAAGTTCACAGAGCTAAATATTACATTTTCTATTTGAACCTTTATCTAAAAAGAAGTAAATAACGAAGGCGGTATCTAATGTAGTCTCTCTAAATTAATATTAATGATCCATTTTATTTATCTTTATTCAATAAATAATACCTCGTTTTAAATTATATTCGAAAGAAAATAAAAATTTTAGGATATAAACTAATAATTACAAAAAAAAAATCGAATAAATGTAGACGATATTATTTTTTGTTAATGATTACAGTTAGCAGACTTGCCTTTGATAATGAAGTTTCTATGAGTTCCTTTTTTGAATAATAAAATTTGGAGGTTATTCACGTTTTATAAACAGCATAAAACTTATTAGAATATTGATAAAAATAAATGTTGTTGCCGTTCGTTTATTTAGGTTCAGTTAAATAAAAAAAAGTTAT